CCCTGCAGCACCATACAGTGCCCCGGGGATGCCCCTCCCCGGCCCTGCAGCTTGCGCTGGCTCTGACTCCAGCCCTGCAAGCAGTAAGGCAGAAGCTGAAGGTAAGGAGGGGGCAATAAGAGGAAGAGGTGGGAGAGGAAGGGGGCTTTTGCGGTGGGGGAGGGGGGAAGAGGAAGAAAGGGGGAGGAGAGAAAAGTTCTGGCTCCAGGCTGTGCTTATGCCCTTGAGCAGCTCCTGGAGGAATGTCTTCCTTTGGGCTGGCCTATAGGGTAGGGGGCAGTGCCTAGGGGCAGCCAGAGGACTCTATACACAGGGAAAGTGGGGGAGAGAAGAGATATGCTGTTACTTCCAGTAATTGTGCAGAGTCATGGCCTGTGGAGGGAGATGAGTCCTAGACCCTATTTCTCAGCAGAAGCTTGGCGGACTGGATTTAAAAACAAAAAACACCCCCACCTACACAAACACTGAAGATTTGCCTACCCTTGAACAAGAGCCAAGCTAGCTCCTGTGGCTGTGTGCTACAGCCATGTATAGGCTGTGTCTGTGATACTGAGGCTCAAGTCAACTGACTTAATACATCTCATGTGACTCTTTGCAGCACAAAAGTTAATGCAGACTGGTAATTCAAGTAAGGTGTTACTATCAGCAGGCCAACTGCAGAGGGTGGGGAGTTGCCCTAGGGCCTGAGTAATTCAGGGAATCCCCCCCACTTAGCCTGTTGGTTGCTGTGGGCTCCAGGCCCCTTTAAATTGGTGCTGGAGCGCCATGCAGAATGCTCTGGACAGTGCTTGGGTGTGTGGAGAAATATGGTCCAGGTAGCTCTGGAGGGCTGGCTGCCCACCCTCTCCCCCCACACACCTCCTGCTCAAGGTGATGCAGCCACCTCTCCCCAACTTTGCCCATGGGCCTGACCACTGTCTGCTTGCCTGTTTATCAGGATGCTTTGTTTAAAAAGCATTAGTTGATACGCACTTGGCCAGTCATTTCATTTAGACTTCTCACAGCAAAGTATGTCCCCTGTCATGCCAAGTATGATTATGTAGCATGTTAGAGTGAAACCATGGTTTCACACTACTGGGATGGTTGATTTGTCTCTTGACCTATAGACTTTAAGGTCAGAAGGGACAAGGCACAAGGCAGGCTACAGAATCTCACCCACCCACTGCTAGAATAATCCTCTCACCTAGATCTCAGATATTGAAGTCCTTGAAACAATGGTTCAAAGACCCCAAGATGCAGAGAATCCTCCCATTAGTGACCCATGCCCCATGCTACAGAGGAAGGCAAAAAACCTCCAGGGCCTCTGCCAATCGACCCTGGAGGAAAATTCCTTCCCGACCCCAAATATGGTGATCAGCTGAACCCTGAGCATGTGGGCAAGACTCACGAGCCAGACACCCAGAAAAAAGTTCTCTATAGCAACTCCTATTTTCCCACTGTGGAAGAAAACAAGCCTTCACTCTACGTTGTGTTTAAGCAACAAGTAGCCAGAGGCAGTTTTATTACGAGCTGCAGCAAGGGAAAAACTGGTTCGGACGGGGGGGGAGCCCCCCCCCTCCAAGGCAGATCTTCAAATACAAGCAATTATGAAGCAGTTTATATACTGTCTATTTGATATAATAACAATAACAATTAGTCTCCTTCCTATTACTAACACCAATGGTTAACAGTTATTTAGTTCCACCCAGATGCTCCTTATCCCAAGGTCTCTGCCGGAGTCAGCATTCTATCCTTATCTCTGTATGGAGGCGAGAGGCAAAGGCAGCGTCTAATCACAGATCTCGCGTTGCTAGGCCACAGACTTAACCTGACTCTTGCTCTCTTGTTAACAAGACCAAAATGGCTGCACACAAATTCCCTTATTCCCTTTTCCTGCCTCCACACCACCATTGGCCTATTTACCACTGATAGTGAAAGGTCAATTAATTGTCAAGATCATGTTACCTCGTCAAACCATCCCTGTCATAAGCCCATCTAGCTTTATCTTGAAGCCAGATAGTGGGGACAAAAGACCTACTTCCCTTGGAAGGCTGTTCTAGAACTTCACTCCTCTGATGGTTAGAAACCTTCGCCTAATTTTGAGTCTAAGCTTCCTAATAGCCAGCTTATATCCATTTGTTCTTGTGTTCACATTGGTATTGAGCTTAAATAATTGCTCTCCCTCCCTGGCATTTATCCCTCTAATATATTTAAAGAGTGCAATCATGTCCCCCCTCAGCCTTCTTTTGATTAATGTAAAGAAGCCAAGCTCCTTGAGTCTCCTTTCATAAGACAGGTTTTCCATTCCTTGGATCATCCTAGTGGTTCTTCTTTGTACCTGTTCCAGTTTGAATTCATCCTTCTTAAACATGGGAGCCCAGAACTGCACACAGTATTTCAAATGAGATCTCACCAATGCCTTTTAAAACAGCACTAACACTCCTTATCCCTACCAGAAATACCTCGCCTAATGCATCCCAAGACCGTATCAGCCTTTTTCACAGCCATGTCATAATGGCAGCTCATAGTCATCCTGTGATCAACCAGGACTCAGAGGTCCTTCGCTTCCGTTACTTCCAACGGATGTGTCCCCAGCTTATAACTAAAATTCTTGTTATTAATCCCTAAATGTATAACCTTACACTTCTCACTATTAAATTTCATCCTATTACTATTACTCTAATTTAGAAGATCATCCAGATCTTCCTGTATGATATCCTGATCTTTTTCTGAATTGGCAATAACTCCCAACTTTGTGTCATCCACAAACTTTATTAGCACACTCCCACTTTTAGTGCTGAGGTCAGTAATAAAAAGATTAAATAATAATGGTCCCAGAACTGATCCCTGAGGAACTGCGCTAGTAACCTCTCTCCAGCCTGACAGTTCACCTTTCAGTATGGAAAAAAGTGGCAGCCATTTTTATGCTAATGAAGTGGGGGAGATTTAAATCCCCACTTCATTAGCAGTTGCAACATGTCTAATTTACATCCCTTTTACAAAAGAGGGATGTAGTCTAGATGTAGCCCCTGAGTTTAGAGATTCGTTAACAATTTTTGCTAACGGACTTGCAATTTCATGTGCTAGTTCCTGTACTATTCTTGGATGAAGATTACCTGGACCCCCTGATTTACTCCCATTAAGATGTTCGAGTCTGGCTTCTACCTCAGACTTGGTAATATCTACCTCCACATCCTTATTCCCTTTTGTTATGTTGCCATTATCCCTAAGCTCTTCATTAAATACTGAAGCAAAGTATTCATTTAGATATTGGGCCATGCCTAGATTATCCTTAACAAAGAGGAAGCGGGATGGCTAATCACTGAGGATGGAGTGGAGGTTTTCTTCCTATTTATATGGCTATAAAACCTTTTACTATTGGTTTTAATTCCCTTTGCAAGGTCCAACGCAACATGACTTTTAGCCTCTCACTTTGTCCCTACATGTTTGAACCTCAATAAGGTAGCTTTCTTTGCTGATCCCTCCCATCTTCCACTCCTTATATGCTTTTTCTTAATCACCTCCCTGAGATTCTTGCTCATCCAACTTGGTCTAACACACCTACCTATGCATTTTTTCCTCTTTCTTGGGATAAAGTTGCAGAAGCTATCAGAAGCCTGTAACTTAAAATAATCCCAGGCCTCCTCCACTTTTAGATCCATAAATTCTTTAGTCCAATCCACTTCCCTAATTTATTAAAATTAGCCCTTTTGAAACAAAAATAAATCCGAGACTAGGGTTTTTTATTTATCTTTCCATTTAGTTTGAACTGATTTATCTCCTGATCGCTTGAGCCAAGATTGTCTCCTACAACCATTTCTTCTATGAGGTCCTCGCTACTCTCCAAAACCAAATCTAAAGTGGCTTCCCCCCCTTGTTCATTCAACAACTACTTGATGAAGGAATTCATCAGCTATCACATCTAGGAAAATCTGAGCCCTATTATTACCAGTATTTGTTCTCCAGTCTGTATCTGGAAAGTTGAAGTCTCCCATGATTACACACAGTTTCCATTAGTATTTACTTCTTTAAAAACATTAAAGAGGTCTCTATCCATATCCAAATTAGATCCTGGTGGCCTATAGCACAACCCAAGCACTATCCCAGGGGAGGATCTAATAGTTTTCTTCCCCAATGTGATTTTTGCCTAGACAGACTGTCTTTTCCATTCTTTCACTTTAATTCTTTGCAATCTACCCCATCATTGATACACAATGCTACTCCACCACCTTTACTTCTCTTTCCTAAACAGTACATACCCTTCAATACCTGTACTCCAGTCATACCTAGTATTCCACCATGTTTGTTATTCCTATAATATCTGGTTTCACTTCCTGGACCAGTAGCTCTAGTTCCTCCACTGTTACCTAGGCTCCTCACATTGGTGTACAAACATCTTAATTTTTGCTGTTTCACCAGACTTCAGACCCACTGAAGTCTGTTCCATAGACAGTCCAGGGATCAATCTAAAGTGTCTAGAAGCAGAAGATTCAACTAGGATCTCCCCATAAGTTGGGAGGCAGGATGCCTAGAGTCTTGAAGCATCAAATTTTATAGTCACACCATGGGGAAGTCTCCACCACTCTCACCCCATAGAAACAAGCCTCAAAGCTGTAGTTACCAGACTTACCAAAAAAATCAATGAGAGCCAGGGACTAATGTGGAGCTTGTCAAGCTACCACAAGAGCCTGTTTATGCCCAGAGGGGACAAGTCAGAACTTTTTGGTTGAATGGCTCCCCTGTCATTGACTCCTCTCCTCCCCCCCGAAATAAGCCTGATTTATCTTGTCTAGTGCTAGCTTGCTATCTTGTGCCATCTAAACAGGAGAGTAAGATGTGGACCATCTCTGCAAGGAGTTCTGTTCTACTGCTGAATTTGGGAAGTCAATGAGGCCTTGGCTCTCCCATTGGCCCCAAGTGCCTGCCATTCCTCCCCCAGAAGGACACATGCTACAAGACAAAAGTGCAATCCATATTTTTTTTTTTATTTTCTTTTTTTTTTTTTTACAGTGATCTGTCATGAAAGCTTTGGGACCTTGTCATCCAGCTGCTTCTCCTACAGAAGAGAGTCAGAACAATAAGGGAGACCACCACCACCACCGACAATATGGCCAGAAGTACCAGGGTCAGGTCCAGTCTGGAGACAGGGCCTACGGAAGGAGGAAGAGCAGTTAAGATAATCCTGATTTTTGTAGGGTCCAAAGGTTAGAGGTGACACTTGGGACTTCCCTACCCCAGTGGTGCAACCCCTGCCCTCATTAGTTTAGAGTCTACCAGAAAGATACTTGGGAGTGGTCAGCTAACTTATAGTGCTCTCTCTGCCCTCTACTGGACAAGACAGACTCTACACTAGGAGCCAAGGAGGCTCAGGAACATACAAGTCACTAGCAAGATGCTATCATGGCTTTGAGTTCTCTTGTTCATGGCATCTATGACTGTTGGGTTATTTATATCCCTCTTTGGAGACTTGTCCACTCATGGGATGCACTTAGGTAAGGGTCATGTCATCCCTACCTAAGCTAATGCAGGGTAGCACTGCTTGATCAGCTGCATCTAGACCCAGGAACCTTTAACATGTTTAGATTGGCACTTGCTGTATTCCAGGCTACATCCACTCACCTTTGGTCTCAGACTTGTTCTCTCCACAGCTTGGTGCCCTCCCCAAAGATCACAGGACCATGAGAACTCACCAGGTCCTGGGGCTCTCCTGTCCTATTGAGATCTAGGAACCGGCGGCCTCCTGGGAGAGGAAGTTAAGAGATTAGGCCCTCGGGTCATGTGGGTGCCCTGAGGAGGCAGGGTCACCATGAATCCTTGCAGCCCTCCTGATAGGTAGAATCATGGAACACTAGAACTGGAAGGAACCTCAAGAGATCAAGTCCAGTCCCCTGCCCTCACAGTAGGACCAAGCACCATCTTGACACCCCCCCCCCCCAAAATCTTCAGTGATTTCAGGTGTTGGTCTTCATAACTTGCTTGACATGTGGGAAAAGACAGGACGCAAGGCCATTTCATCTAGAGTTGCCCAATTGCTTCACCAAAAATACCAGACCCCCAAAAAGGGCACCAGGCTGCCGAAATGCATTTGCAGCCCCGTTAGTTGCCAGGCCACTTCCCCACCACATGTCTGTCGGGCACCGAGCCAGGAAAAGCAGAAGATACTGGACATTTTATAAGTCTGGCATTTTCCTCACTTTACTGCACCTTCTGTCCAAGTACCGGACTGTCCAGTTCAATACTGGACACCTGGCAACCCTAATTTCATTAGGAGTAGCAGACACTAGCAATCGCCTCTGGAGAGCTTAATGGAACATTGTCTCCTACACAGGGCAGTTGTAGGAGATTGACTCTTTACCAATGTTGCCCCTCAGACCCTAGCTAGCTCTGCAGTATGTGGTAGAGCTACATGAACAGCTGGATGGTGTTTGCTGCAGGATGCATGTAGCAGGACAGGCAGAGCTCTGGACACTGAGGTACTCTGCTGTTTGGGCTGGGAGCTTATAGAAACCCGCATTTCAGGCCACTGGTACAAAGTGGCAGCCTTGGAGACTTACTTATAGCAGCTCCTGATGGGCACGTGGTCCGGCAGGGCTCCAGCTGGGAGGGGTGGCAGGCAGAGGCACTGCAGTAAATGTACACCTAAAATCCACGCAAGTGAGAATCGAGTGAGTGGCCATCCAGGGCTGCTGGGAGCCAGGAAGTGAATCCACAGCTACTCATTTGCTTCTTGAAGCTCTGCACCTGACTAAAATAGGAACTCCTGCCCCACCCCTTCTAGATCCAGGCCCCTTCTCACCAGTCCTTCAAGCACCATCTGGGCAGCAGAGTCCACAAAGGCAAAGGTGGAGAGGACGAAGCGCTGGTGGTGCATCAGGAAGGGCAGCTCAGAGGAGGCCGGGCCCATGGGCACAAGCTGGGTTCTGTAGTTGTCTCCCAGGAACGGGCACCTGGGAACAAGGGGGTAAGATTTAAGCAGGTTCCAAGAGCACCAATGATCCCTTCAACTCCAGCCACTCACGCGTCCACCAGGATGGGCCACTGCGGCTGCTCCAGGGGGTTTGCACTGGGGGTGGCCCAGCACTGGTGCAGAACCAGGACCAGGGCGGGGTCTGTTCTCTGCAGGATGCGAACCTCCACGTAGACAGGGTCCCTGAGCACCTTCAGCACAGGGTAGTCTCCCTCCTCAAGGTAGGATGTGTAGCTCAGGTCTGCAGAGGAGAGCAGAGCTGAGACACTGGATCCCTCCAGGGGCTGGGATCTCTGCCCTGGAGTGAGGGGGGCTGCCTACCTGTGGCAATGCGCAGCTCAAGGTGGAGGGGTCCTTCCTGGGTGACTGGAGCAGGTGAAGGGGGCATGAAGATCTGAACCTGCAGTGGCAGGAAGTCACTGGCATTGTAGATGCAGCGAGCATGGAGGCTGCAGAGGAGAGAGCAGAGGGAGGAGGTGGGGGTTGATGCTCACTGAATTCAGACTGAGCCAAGGCTGCGTCTGCCAGTGAGTTTATTAGTGCTGGAGATCAACAAGGTCAGCCCCCCTCCCTCCCAGCCAGTCTACACTTGGATGGGACCACACTACTGCATCAACACCTCCAGAAACTCAGATGTTCTTCCCTGCTTAATCCCTGAGCTGTAGTTGTGCCTAGGCATGGCCACACGGGGGCCTTCTGAGACAGGACAGAAGTGCCTGTTCATGGCAGGATCAAGTTGGCCACCAACTGTCATCCAAGTTTCTCCCTCCCAGCCCTGTAGTGAGTTACCCCTAGTCCTGTGGGGAGGGGAGACTGGCTGGGCCTACTTGTGGTCAATGGAGATTGCATAGCAAGCAGTATTATCTACCCCCACTAAGGAGAGGATTTTATTTTGTGTCTGAACTACACATGCATCCTTCCTGTCATAGGAAGGATCATCTCCCCTGCACCACACCTCAGAAGGTGACTTCAGTAACTGCATAATCATGACCCTACAGGATAAGAGGGCCCGGGGATGTCCAGGAGATGGTTCCCTCAACTCTGTTCCTATAGCAACGACTACTTCACCCAGGGAAAGTATCTGCTTCAGCCCTTCTCCCCACTTCCAGGGTGGAGGACTACTTACCACCACCGCTTTGCTTTTCAACAGAGCAGGTCAACTCACATGAAGGTGCTGTCCCGGGTGATGGAGCCATCTGGCCCAGTCTGGATGTCGATGCCAGAGACCAGCTGGTTCTCATAGATCAGTTTGTCCCCAGTCACCTGGCAGGTTAGACATGGGGTAAGTTAGCCCCCATAACCCTGAGCAGAGCTCACCCTGGCTTCCATTGGGCATCTCCTCACCTGAGCTGTGGTGCCGCACTGCATGAGGGGAAAGTGGAAGATCACAAAAGCCTCAGTCTTCCTGATGGGCTCACACCCAGTCTGGGCATAGGCTAGCCGGACACTGTCCAGGATGTTGGGGTGGGCAGACATGTCCCTGGAGACCACCAGAACAAAGTGACCATCCAGGAGGCACTGAGCAGTAACTGCAACACAAGGGAACAAGATTAAGTGTAGACACTCCTCATACAGGGGTGGAGCAAGTGTTCCATGCCACACTAACCTATAATTGATCGATTGGTGAGGGGTGGAGGAGTGCCATGAAGAGGCCTGGAAATCATGGCCTGTAGTGACCAAATTCTGAGTTTATAGATTTGAGGCTAGTCAGGTCACCCTTTTAACCTACTAAAGGGCTAGATGGGGATTAGTATTTAAACTGGGTATAGATTCGCCAGGATAGGGAGTCATTGGAATGATTTGTCCATGGTCATGGAGAATCCACCATCACTGAGAAGTCAAGACATGATGTTTGCCAACAGATTTGCTCTAGGAATTATTTCAAGGAATTTCTGTGTAGCACCATGGCCCCTGCTGGCTTTGGAATTTGTGAAATAGGGAAAGCCTATGGGAGAGAATGAGAACTCAGTAGCTGCACATTGATTGGATGTTCTTCTGCCACCACACATTTGGCGCTTGCTCTCAAGATCTGCATTGGCCAACCGGGTGCAGGAATCCCGTCACACATAATGGTGCCAGCTACAGCCCACAGGAAGAGGTACAGAGAAATTGTAGCCGAGCCTAGCTTGCTGTGTTAGTAGCCGATAGCGACCAAACATCTGAGAAGGATGGGGGTCTCCCCACACTTCCCAGACTGACAGCTAAAGGCTCTATGAGCCAACACAAGGGCAGGTCTCCTACCTGTGTTGCCATAGTAGCAGGGAGTCGTTGGGTCCGTCTCATCATAACAGCAGCCAGCCTGCGCGCAAGCAGTGCGGCCGGGGGCATCCACACAGGGGATCTTCCCAGCCGCCACCCGGCACTGCTCCTGCGTGAGATGGGCACCTAGGGTGGCAGCAGTGGATTAAGGAGAGCTGGAGATCCTCTGAAAGGATCTCAGCAGGCTCTTCCCCAGAGACTTGAGTATCTAGAGAGACCTCTGAATGAATGGCTGACCTCAACACCAGTCCAACCCTCCCCAAAGGGACTGCAAGAGCTCCCACACGGGCCCTCCTTACCAGATCACACTTATTCCCCCCCTGCACATTATAGCCTCAAGTCACATCTCATACAGCATAGTGCCCAGATCCCCACCCAGGCCTCCAGATGTAGCAGGTCGCTCTTCTTAGCATTAAGTCTGATACTAGGCTTAAAAATGTCACATACGAATTCAGGGTCTTGATAGGCTGCTGAGTGATAGGAGAGCTGCTGCCGCCCCCCCTCCCCAAACAAAAAACAAGACCACTCTACAGTGTTGAGCCTATCACAGCCAGCAATTCTGGAGCAGGTTTTTCTAGCTAGCTCATGAAACAGAGCGGACGGCTACTCTGAGTTTTCCCTTATGTGCCACCCTTGCCCCAAAAGAGTCACCATCTCCCCATTCCCAACAGGGAAGAAGCTAGCAAAAAGGCTATTGGGGAAATAGTGGCCAAAGACATGTCCCTAACATCTGCTACCCACACTTTCTTCAGGGACACTGAACTTGCACCTACAAGTAAAATGGCTGCTATTCTGGTTTACTGAATGTCTAGCTGGATTTTGCAAAAATACACAGAATTGGGAGGGGAGGAAGCCCCCCCCCCCCCCAAAGCTCTGAGAAAAAAAAAAAGTCAGAAAGCACAGACACCCTCCCCCAGACTAAGTTTAGTGAAGCAACATTTTTACGCTAATCACATTTTAGAGTACATATTGTAGTGTTGCCAATACCAGCTCTAACATGGCAGCCACAAGCAAGAGATAAGTGCCGATTCCCTGAAGACCAACAATTTTGAGAACACACACCTATGTTGTGCGGCACGGGCCCCGGGCGCACCAGGCCGGGCTGCGGCACGGGCCCCGGGCGCACCAGGCCGGGCTGCGGCACGGCACGCATTGTCTCCTCTGGGCTTACGCCGCGCTGCAGGACGGACCCTGGGTGCACCAGGCCGGGCTGCGGTATGGATCCCGGGTGCACCAGGCCGGGCTGCGGTATGGACCCCGGGTGCACCAGGCCGGGCTGCGGCACAGGGTCTGGGAGCCCCAGGCCGGGTTGTGGCATGAGCCCCGGGAGCACCAGGCCGGGCTGCGGCACGGCACGCATGGCCTCCTCTGGCCTTAAGTCATGTTCAGTGGCCTTGGGGCAGATCATGTTCAAACATTGGCTAGGGTTGCCAGTTTTGGTTCAGCATATCCCTGGATAGTTCAGCACTTGACAGTATTTCATTACAACTAATCTTTAGTTCCCAGATATTCTAGGCAATCCAGTTAACAGCCCTGGCACAGGCTGCTGCGACAGCGGGTAGGAGGAATCTGCAGTCATTACAAAAGCCCAAGTACGTCAGCTGGACCTCCCCAAGAACAGAACAATCATGCATCCTAGGTCAGAGGCCAGAAACCTCTCCATGGTGATACATTGGATGTTAGAGTCAAGCGTTCAAGGCAGAAGTAGCCAGGATAGAGACATCAGAGCCTCTTGTGCCCATCCTCTCACCTTCCTGACCACATGACAGCCATTGTAGCCTGCTGAGAAGATCACAGCACCTTCCTCACCAGAGGTGACCCAGTGGAGGCAGATGGAGCAGTTGGTTACTTCAAAGGGAGTCCCAAACTCATCTGTGGAAGAAGCCACACTCAGGACAACCATCACCAGGGGGAAAGACAAGTTATGGCAGGCTCGTTCAGATGCATAGGAAGGCTGCAGGGCACGAAGCTGGGACTTATTCTACCAGGGATGTCTTTGGGTTACATCGAACTCCCCAAACTCAGCTTGGCAAATAAAGATCTAGTTCCTCTTAAAACTATCAAGGAGCATGGACAAGCCCTGAATCCCAGCAGCACAAGGGCTGTCTTACAGCAGCAATATTAGCAGCTACTGCAGCCGACTATGCATGTCCCAAAGCAGGGAAGTTTCAGGAAGCCAAGCCAGAGTTGGGAGACTTACCTGCATGGGGAGACACATTCACAAGCTTTTGAGATTACTTACCGGGTCAAGCCTTCATCTTACAAGGAGAGGCTCTACTTGAAGCAGCTGGATAACACCTACAGTACCCCCACCCTTCCCCAGTCCCAGCAACACCAGCTAGGGGTTCAGGACTGCAGCTAAGCCAGACAGCTGTGAGACACACTGAAAGATTAGCACCCCCAATGACAGAGCAAGGCACTGCACATGCTGGGAGAGAGCTGCACACAAGAGACAGGAGAAATAGCAATAGCCTCAGAACCCCTCCCATGTGTGTGTGTTTGAGAGGGAGCCTGAGCACAGATGGAAGTGGGTTTGGCTGCTTATTAAGCAGCCAGGAAGCCACTTACCTACAACTTTGAAGCGGACAGTGCGGCCCTGGCTGGGAAAGACCAGCAGCTGCATCCCATAGTCTCCACACTCATACTCATGCTGCAAGACAGAGGAACTAACCCTGCGGAAGTCCCTCTGCCCCAGGGTTGTCCCCAGGCACCAAAGCAGCACTAAGCCCACAAAGGACCTATAGCCCCATCCCATGGCTGGCAGAACTAAGGAAGATGCCCTACCCAAGAGGCCCTTCTCATAGCTAGGGAAGCTGGGGAACTGGGGCTTTGAAGGATGAGCAGAGAGGAGTGGGCGGCGTGTGAACCAGGTGAGCAGAGGGGCTGCACCTGGGGAGCGGCTGGCTGCTGCTGAGGGGCCGGGTGAAAAGTGCAAAGCTGAGGGTGAAAGAGAACCATAGCCATTGAATCCCCCAAATGAAAACAAACTAAAGTCTCTCCCAGTTACTCCTACTGTTATATCTTCCTTTTGGGATGCCCCCTGGCTGTCCCCTCTCCTGCTCTGGCTTTCTCTCTCTCTCCCTGCCTGACTCCCACTTTTCTCTCTCACATGGGAGGGAAAGGGGGACTCATTCCAGTATTCATTTGCTTCCCAGTGGGTGAGGAGGAACTAAAGAAACTGCTACTGAGAGGGACTAATTTGGAGTTCTGCTCTGAGCAAGGCCTAGTGCCCATCGCTTCCAGTCATTATCCATCCTAGCCTGTGCCCTCTGCTATTGCCGTGAGAGCCATTCCTGGCCTGTGACCAATTCTGCAGTACACACAGGAATGGGGCAGCACACTAGCCGCAGTTCAGTACAGTGACTTTTGGGGGCAGCCAGGTCTGGCAGTGGGTCACTATGGCCTGAATATGAATGTGGCTCTGCCACAGATTTTGTGTATCCTTGGGCACATCACTCGACTGATATTATTATTTGTATTACAGCAGCATCCAAAAGCTCCAACTGAGATCAAGGCCCCATCGTGCTGGACGCTGAATATATGCATTGTAAGAAACGGTTCCTGCCTCCAAAGACATTCTGGTCAAAGGGCCAGATTCTGCATCCCAGGCTGGGACCGCGACTGGTGCAAACTACTGATCAGCCTGAATAAGGGTTAGGCAACTCTGCCATTTTTTTCCCCAGTAGAAAAATGTTAACTATTTGATGAAAAGTCAAAATGTTCAGATTTTTCAGACTAAAACTGAGAAAAAAAAAGTTGGTTGAAAAATCAACATTTCTTGCCCATAATTTTTAACTGAAAAGTGAACGTTTTGATGGGGCAATGCCACCATTCTGTCTTGTGGGGGGTATAGTTCAGGTCTTCCTGCTCCCTTTCTCCTCTGGGCTGTGCTCTCTGGAAGGACTACATCTCCCATGATACACTTCTCCCTGGCTGAGGTACCGCATTGGGCAATGGGAGAATGGAACCTATTGGTGCCAATTGGCAGAGCGGTGCAGAGTCACAGGGATCCCCGGGTCTGGTGACAACATCCTAGTTTGCCACAAGGTATCATGGAAGGTCTTTCTTGAAAGCCTGTCTCTCATAGGTCCTCATAAGCCTTGCAACAGCAATGGATGGATGGGTCATGTGTAGATATGAATCTAGACAGAAAATTATCTTCTTCAGGTCTGTGTCTTGGGGCTGGTCACCAGAAGGCGATAAACAAGTTTCTTTCCAGCCAGAGATGCTTGGCTGTCTGACCATATTAAAAGCATAGCGGATGCCCACCTACAGTCTGAGCCAAATACTCACGAAGGGAGTGTAGCAGCTTCCAGAGAGGGAGTTTACAGGGAGAAATAAGCCAGTAGGAGGTCACGCTGTGTGCAAGTGAAGACAATGGCTCAGTGGGATCACATCTGCAGGTGCCGAGACACACCCACTTATCTTTCACAGGGAAACAAGCAAGCTGCTGGTTGGCTTGTGCTATGAACAGAAGATCACAGCTGATAAGGCTGTATGATGCAGGGAGACAAATTTTGGCTGAGCTACACTTTATGGAACAGGGGACTGTCCTGTCAGTTAGCTTTAGGCGCTAGATGCAATATCACAATCATACACACGTGAGGAATAGGGGGGTTCTCCAGGGTGCTCCTCCAAGGCATAGTGTGTCGTTCATGGACAATCTCAGCAGCCTCTGACCGACATGCAGAGCCCGGGGTGGTTGCCCTGAACCATCCAATGGCCAGATTGCCTTCAGGCCTCTGCATGGGGGCAAGGGGGCACATGACCCTTCACACCTTCCTCCTATATGTTGGCTCTGGCCATTTTCCACCCCCACCTCCCAGTCTATCTTCTTTGCAGTTGCTAGAGCTCTGCTTCTTGGGGGATAGCCCATAGAGTGCTTGGAGTCAAGACCCCTGTGTTCTAGTGTCATCTCTATCACAGGCACCTGGCTCTTAGTGTCAGACGCAGGATGGGTGCACAACGCTGCTAGCGCCACATGCTCACCATGCCTTAGATGCGAGAAATACAACTGGGCTTCTATTTCGTCTTGTAGGATGTGAACCTTTCGGCTCTAAAGGAACAGGGAAAGGGGGCTGCTTGGAGAAGCGGAGCAAAGGCGCAAACAACCACCTAAGAGGAGCAGGAAGATGAGGGGAGGTGGCATCACTAGGGAGTGAGAGAGGCTGGGATTGTCAAAGGAAGAAAAGGAGCCTGCGTTGTTCGCTTCCTTTGAGCCAGAGCCTGGCGGGAGAAGGGGAACCTTGGTGAAACAGGTGAGTGGACCCAGGAATGTGTGTGCGTAGCACGTAATAAGGCCCCTTCTCTGTGCCCTTGAGCGCGCATTGGCCTTTTGGTCAGTGCGCATAATTAACAAGTTGTACATATTTTTAATTTTTTGCTCAGACACAATGTTTGGCTCACGTGGCTGCAGTCCTGTCATTTGCCCACCAGAGGGCTCTGTGGCACTAGACCACAGCACAGTGAGAGAGGAGATAGAGCCTGCCTTCTTCACAGCACCTGTTGGGCCAGGTTGGGAGACAAAAGTATGGGGGGGGGGAGGGTCAGACAGGGGGCTCATAAGGGCTAGTAAGGGAAGAGAGACTGGGGCGGGGGCTGAATGGGGGTAGAGGCTCAGGGCCACAAGGGATGGGGTGTGTGAGTAGGCTTGCCAGATGCTTTCACCAAAAATCCTGAACATGGCAGGAAAAAAACTTGGTTGAGCAAGAGCAAAACCAAAACAAAACACCAAACTCCTTGAGCAAAAAAAAAAAGGGGGGGAGGAAAGAGAACAAAATAGTTGCTGCACTTTTAAGAAGCCCCCCACTGCTCGCTCCCCCCCACCCATACCAGACATGGCAAGGGAACAATGTCTCTGCCAGCTTTCTGTCCGAGAAAAACAGAAAATGCCAGACCTTTTACATGTCTGGTATTTTCTGGGTTTTTTACCGGGCAGGGGCCAGAAATAATGGACACTCTGTGTGAAAACCAGATACCCGGCAACCGAATGTGAGAGCGGAGGGGCACATGTGGATAGGGGGTGCAAGGACACAAGGGAATGGGTGTCAGGACACATGTACCTGACTGAATGGGAGAGACGAGGGGTCAGATAGAGATTTTATCAGGGAAACTCCCTAACAGTCCCCCCTCTTGAAAAACCATGCTCAATACTTTTCCCACACACCCCCAGTATCCCTCCAATTTCACACCCAGGCTCCTTCCCAGCAATTATTTTCCTCTCCCTCAGCTCCTCCATTATCTTCAATTCCCCACAGCTTTCGCCCTGCGGCTGTGTCTACATTGGCATGATCTTGCGCCAAAACAGCCGCTTTTGCGCAAAAACATGCTGCCTGTCTACACTGGCAGGGAGTTCTTGAGCAAGAACACTGACGTTCTAACGTATGAAATCAGTGCTTCTGGTGCAAGAACTATGATGCTCCTGCTCAGGAATAAGCCCTCTTGCACAACTGTACTTGCTCAGTGTAGACAGGCAACATGAATTTCTTGCGCAAGAAAGCCCGATGGCTAAAATGGCCATCTGCACTTTCTTGTGCAAGAGAGCATCTACACTGGCACGGATGCTCTTGTGCAAAGGCACATGCCAGTGTAGACGCTCTCTTGTGCAAATACTTTAATGCAAGAACTCTTGCGTTAAAGTGTATTTGCGCAAGATCATGCCAATGTAGACACAGCATGCTTGTCAGGTGTATGGGAAATATGGGCTGGTAGTATAATTTAATACCAAACTCATTTAATATGCCTAGTGAGAATCTGTATCAAAACATTGTCTGAATCATTTTTGTCTGTATTGTTTGCAGTCATACTTGCTGATTATTTAAAAAAAACAAACAAAATAATTGACACTAGTGTGATTCTAGTGTGTTATTTTGTCAAATAAAAGATGCAGAATTTGAAAATAGCTTGTGCAGAATTCTCCCTGGAGTACTGGCTATGCCTGCTACTGGGTTATTGGCTCAGTGACTAGGCGCTAGCATGGCAGCCTGGAACTTGCTTCATTTGATGAGTCAGTTACCGAGTTAACTCACAGCTTAGGGTAACTGTACTCTTCGGGAGGCCATGTCAGGAACAAATCAACGGGGGACGTAAGGCCTCTGATTCAGGAGTGTCACAAATCCAAATGGCTTTCATCCAAACTTATTTTATTAGAGCTCAAGCACATCAGATATGCAAAATGGTTACCAGATTCGCCCGTTACATTGGGATATGTTCCTTTATTAGGGTTACTTATGTGCCCCCAGGTTCAGCACATCCCTGTCCCCACTTTCACACCACCACCTTTCTGCTAGCAACCCACTCAATGAACAAACCCCACATGATTTTTGGGCAAGTTTAGCTTAGGGACAAGGGGCTTCACTGCGGAGTGAATGGAGAAGCTAAAAACAACATTCCCAAAGCAGAGGTGGGAGAGAGACACCACTATTAACCATGGAAGTTAGTCAGATAGTAACCATGCAAGGGAAGCCAAACAAAATAGTTTTACGGGTTGAACCTCTCTAGCCTAGCACCCTCGTGACCTAACCGGTACCAAGCACAGAATTTGCCAAACCATCAGAGATCTGTATTATGTGGCAGCATCCCCAACATTTCTACTGGTTACAGGGCTTTTAGAAAACATCAGGGCTACGTCTAGACTGGCATGATTTTCCGGAAATGCTTTTAACGGAAAACTTTTCCATTAAAAGCATTTTCAGAAAAGAGTGTCTAGATTGGTACGGACGCTTTTCCGCAAAAAGCGCTTTTGCGGAAAAGTGTTCATGCCAATCTAGACGCGCTTTTCCGCAAAAAAAGCCCTGATCCCCATTTTAGCCATCGGGGCTTTTTTTGGGGAAAAACAAATCTCAGCTGTCTACACTGGCCCTTTTGCACAAAATTTGTGCAGAAGGACTTTTACCTGAACGGGAGCAGCATAGTATTTCCGCAAGAAGCACTGATTTCTTACAGTAGGAAGTCAGTGCTTTTGCGGAAATTCAAGCGGCCAGTGTAGACAGCCGGCAAGTTTTTCCGAAAAAGCGGCTGCTTTTCTGGAAAAAACTGGCCACTCTAGACACAGCCCAGGGGTAAATTATAGCTGAACAGCAGAGAACACAGAGCCAGGACTGGTGGCTTTAAACAAACTTTATGGGCCCACAGGACACTTAGCCACATGCATGATAAGTAGACATCTGGCTAACTAAAATCATGCCAAACCATGCATGGTGCAGGACAGAGGCTCACCCTGTAATATTAAATCTGACCACAAAAGTTAGGGCTAGCAAACCATAACTGACACCATAAGGCAGGAGGCTATGCCGAGAGAGAGAGAGAGATCTCACCACTCTTTGAAGGTTTGAGCGGATCAGGATTACTAGGTGGTGATGGTAAGGGGTAGCTAGAGCCAGGGAGAGGAAATGCCCCAGCATAATCAGTCAGTGAAAGATGAAGTTTCAATGTAATTGATGCAGACTTTAGACCCAGGTACCAGAATGCTTTACTTGAACAAAGGGATTATAATGGTTCAAAAAAGATAAGTTAGTTTACCCATAAACCAATCTAAAGGAAGTATTCTACAATTGCTTTATTTAGGCTAGACAATAAGAACTGTTCATTCCCAGCTGTGGGCAGTGTTCCTTCCAGACAGCTCATATTGCAATCAGGCAGCTTCAGTATTTTGGATACCCATGGAGAATTTACTAGAATTGGCCTGAAAACTATGCAGGTGTGGGTTCATTAACATCTAGAGCAGAGGATTCTCCTCGCTTCCCTGCTTTGTGTCCCAGAGTTTAGTGTGGTTCCTGCCTTTGACTATCTGTTCTCCAATCTGAATGCTAATAAATGCCTTTGCGCCTCTATGCAAATAAGGCAAGAGCTGTTTCTGGAGTGGAGGGGATTAGGTATGTTTTCAGCTGCCTTTTAATTGAACACTTAAAGGCTATGTCTACATTGGCATGATATTGTGCAAATACTTTAATGCAAGACTTCTTGCGTTAAAGTATTTGCACAAGTGTGTGTCTACACTGGCATGTGCCTTTGTGCAAGATGTGCTTTGTGCAAGAGCATCTGTGCTAGTGTAGGCACTCTTGTGCAAGAAAGCTCTGATGGCCATTTTAACTGTAGGGTTTTCTTGCACAAGAAATTCATGTTGTCTGTCTACACTGGCCTCTTGTGCAAGAAGGCTTATTCCTGAGCAGGAGCATCATAGTTCTTGCACCAGAAGCACTGATTTCACACATTAGAATGTCAGTGTTCTTGCGCAAGAGCTCCCTGCCAGTGTAGACAGGCAACAAGTTTGTGTGCTAGAGTGGCCGCTTTGGTGCAAGATCGTGCCAATGTAGATACAGCCAAAGTCTCTTCTGATCAGTGTTGGTTTGAGTAGAAATTGGAAGGCAGAGATCTTTTGAGAGTCACACAGGCAGGATATTATGCCCAGGTTGTCCTGGAACACAAAGCTGGCAGGCAACGCTACCCCAAACAATAGTTACCTGTGTCAAGTGGTCAAACAAGGTTCAAGTGGCAAACTATCCACCCATCACTAGGGCTGCCAAGAAATGTACAAGTTGTCAATGCCCAACAAGCCAGTCTACCTCTTAAATCTATTTTAGAAGTGTCTGTCCATGAGTTTCAGAAACTAGTACAAGCTAGGGCCAAATTTGCTATGTAGTTTCCTCTGACAAAGAGATTAGGGTTTCATTGTTGGGAAAAATAGGATCTGCCTAGAATGGAATTGTTTTCCATAAGATGGAAAGGGAGAGGGCTGACCAGAGAAGAGTGCTATGCAGAATGGCCAGGATAGGGTGGAGTAGAGGGGGACCGCCCTACCAAGAGATCAGCCAGCTGGGACAGGGCTCCACTTAACCAGTGTGGTGGCTGGTCAAGTGACCTTGGCCCAAACTCCTCCCTTCTGCTCTTGGATGCAGTGCCAGAATGGGCTTGTCCTAAGCTCCAGGCACAAGTTGGTGGGTGGGCTGTATGGCCACTACCCCTATGGACCAGCCCTTGAGAATTTGGTGGTCAGGATTTATTCCTCTCCCCAAGGGGCAAATTAGTGGGTGGGGTGGGGTAGTTGCCTGCTTCCCCAGCAACAAGCCCCTGCATCCCCAACCCCTGAGCTCCTCAACTCCCCACCTGGATGTGTGGATTCCCTACCCTCCTATCCTGAGCCTCCCCACCCCAGCCTCAAGACCCTGCTCTCTGCATGCACCCCCCTCCCCCCCAGCTAGCCTCTACCCTGAAGGAGTCAGGCAATGCTGGGTAAGTCTTAGTTTGTGGTGATGGAACTTACACCACCACACCAGGCTAAGAAAAAACCATTTAGTTCTAGGCTGGTGTAGGAATACAGCTGTACTTCTACACAAAACCACCCAAAGATCTATTTTTAGAGAAGGCTAGATTTTGCTTGTGCACTTTTGCACTTGCTAAACAAAGGCAGGCAGCATGGTCATGTGGACTTCTAGTCATTGAGCCTGCTAGGCAGAGCTTACAATAGCTACTCCCATACTAGCAGCAGCCCAAGCATTTTGCTGGGTTGTCAGGAATCTCCCCTTACAATCACACGACCTCAAGAGATGCATTGTGATCTAGGCAGCGGGATAGTGGCTCTCACCCAGCAGTGTATGGAAAAACCCAGGAAGTTAGTGTCAGCTCTAGGCTGCTCCATCCTTAGAATTTGCTGCCTTTGTTTGACCTCTGCTTCAGAAGGCGCGACTGCCAAGGCCAGCTACCATCCCTTCAGAGACAAAGCCTTGTTGCTGGGTAGCTCTAATGCACAGAGATCTAAGAGCAGTGATGGGATTCTCCTAGGGATCTCCTTAGAGTTAAGTCCCCTCTGTATCACTAAGGGACAGGGTCCCTTTGAAGGCTTTGCCTGGGGCAGTGGGGAAGGATACCACCTTTGTTACTTGCCCTGAAACTTGCCTACAGAAATCTAGCTGCTCTGACTACTGCATGTCCTGGTCCACCCCCAAAAAGCATGGGGACTACAAGCACAATCCAGCCAGTTTTATTGGTTTTTGCTACAATGTTCCTTCATCAGGATTGGGAGAGCTGATCTTCCAGCCTTTCCTCCTCCAGAGGATGAGCACAGCTGTGAGGATGGAGGCCACAGCCATCAATGAGAGCCCAGCCAGGAGCACTGGGGACAGGTCTGGTCTAGAGCTTTGGTCTGTGGGGAAAGAGGAGATACCAGCTCCACTAGGGTGACAGGAGATAGGAATCAGAGCCATCCCTGGTGGGGCTAGAGAAAGATACTGTCTTGTCCACACCTGCACTTGGACAGACTCCACCCCTACTCCTATCCCAAGCTAGCAGCAGGCAGACGGTTCTTTCTACTACTCCCTGCCCCCTCAGTGGCCTCTGAACTCCGGCTACAGACTTTTGTAATGGACCTCAGTTACTCCCTTGGCTCAGTCCCATGTTCCCCTCCCCTGGAGGCAGGACAGCTGGCCAAGAGCCAGGACAAATGGGAAGCTTCTGTTCCTACAATGCTGGTTACTGAGTCAGTCCATTTGCCTCTTCACAGGAAGGGGTGCCTCTGTAAGGTCATCCCTTTAAGGTGCCACGAGCCAGGCCATGCTGGGGACCAGAACTGAGTCACTCACCTCCATTGCCATGGACTAGCTCTTTAGGTGCTCCTGGACTGTCCTGGAAGATGATAGGCCCAGGAGAGCTCACCACATTGAGAGACTCTGTTCCATTGTGGGCAGTGAGGAACCGGCGACCTCCTGGGGTGGACGGGGTTAAAAAAAGAGGCAGAGAATTAGTCTGCAGTGCAAGCTGAGCTCATTCAGGCTGGGCTGCTGACCTCCACTCATGGGTGTCGTGGGGCAAGGGCTAAAGACAAGAGCTGTGGAGTGCCAGGTATGTTGGCTGGTTCCTGTGTAGCTACATGAGCAGGTCAGCTCATTGTCCCTTCATGGCTGCCATGGGAGGGGGGCCTGACTGGTCTGTCGGCATGAGAGGTGACTCTGTAGGGGATGTGGAGCAACTTACTCATGCAACTCAGCTACCACTCAGTTAACCCCAGCTTGGTGTGAGCTTCTTCTACCGTCAGGTGCGCTCTGACCAGGGAGGGTCTGGAACCAGATCAGCATGCCCCCCCCCCCCATGCCTAGCATGAAGGCCAGACTTACTTGCTGTCACCCCTGATGGGCAGACAGTCCTGCAGGGCTCCAGCAGGGATGGGGAGCAGGCGGAGGCACTGCAGAAGATGTAGACCTAAGCCAGACATGTGAGGAACCCAAGTCAGATAATGCACTGGCCAGTCTAGGCTCAGTCAGCATGTGCAGCACCTCCAACATGCCTAGAAGGCCAGCCCTTCTTGATGCCAGGATTAGGCACTTCCCCAGTGATGTTACAAGCCCAGTATTAGTCACGGTATTCAGAGGGCAATGCCTCCCTGGTACATTATCCAAGGAGGGGCCAGTGCATACAAGTCACTGGAGGATTTCAGGAAGATTTTTCCGAACAGGAAAAGCTTGGTTATTCTGGTTTTGGATTTGGTATTGGGATGTTTGTTCACCCAAGGAGACCCCACTGGAGGGGGGCCAGAGTTCCATATTTTCTTCACATACATGTGTTGGAAATAGAGAGGCAGGTTGTGCTAAAGCTGCTGCCACCCAAGATCAGTGCTATATACAGGTCAGCAGTGGCCAGAACAGCATAGTCCAGCAGCCATAGGGCTCAGGACCCATTCTCTCAGCACTTCATGCTCTACTGCTCCTGAGGAGCAGAGCTCGAGCCAGCTGGCCCCACACTCCTACCACAAGGTGACCCAGGCACTGGGATTCAGCCTGCAACCCATTCAGGTGCTGTGCTAAACACCCCCACCCCTAGAAATGGAGCTTGCCAGTTGGGTGGGCTGAGCTGGCAGAAGCTGTTCAGGTCTCTCCTCCTCCCCCCCGCCCCCCCAGCTGAGGTAGGAATGGTTGTTACAAGCTATAAGAATCCCCCCCCCCCCTTACCAGTCCCTCCATCATCATCTGAGTGCTAGAGTCCACAAAGGCAAAGGTGGAGAGGACAAAGCGCTGGTGGTGCACCGGGAAGGGCAGCTCAGAGGAGGCTGGGCCCACGGGCATGAGCTGGGTTCTATAGTTGTCTCCCAGGAACGGGCACCTGGGAACAAGGATTAAAATTTGAAGCTGGTTCTCTAGAGTACCTCTGCTTGAGCACAGTGATCCCTTCACCTCCGGCCACTCACCCGTCCACCAGGATGGGCCACTGCGGCTGCTCCAGGGGGTTCGCACTAGGGGTGGCCCAGCACTGGTGCAGAACCAGAACCAAGGCAGGGTCTGTTCTCTGCAGGATGCGAACCTCCACGGAGACAGGGTCCCTGAGCACCTTCAGCACAGGGTAGTCTCCCTCCTCAAGGTAGGATGTGTAGCTCAGGTCTGCGGGGAAGAGGGCAGGAGTCGAGCAGAGCTAAGACACCGGGGCCCTCCAGGGGCTGGAATCTCTACCCTGGAGCAAGAGGGGCAGCCTACCTGCGGCAATGCGCAGCTCAAGGCGGAGGGGTCCTGCCTGGGTGACTGGAACAGGTGAGGGGGGCAGGAAGACCTGGACCTGCAGTGGCAGGAAGTCACTGGCATTGTAGATGCAGCGAGCATGGAGGCTGCAGGAGAGAGCAGAGGGAGGATGGTCAGGTTAAAATGTTTTAAGAGTCACTTTGTGCATCTTCACTCCCCTGCCCTGTAGCTTTCATCCATTCAGCTTAATGCCAACCACTGCTCAACAGGCAAGACCCCAGTGCCACTCTCTGACTGCATAAGGTCCTGCCCAATTGCTCACTCCTTGCCCCAGTTTGAGGTTTTTGGGCCTTGACGTCTCAAGTTGGGATTTAGCATCACATGGAACCTCACTGGCTGATTTAAAGAGTCAGCCCTTTGAAGGTTCTCTTGGATATCTTCAATGAAGAATTGACAATTCAGTCTGACAGGTTCTGAGGTCAGCACCTAATTAGGGACCCAGGTGTGCAGGCACTGCTCAGATTCAGCAAGTGAACAACTAGAGTATTCCTAGGTATGCTACAGTAGAAGCTATTATCCTAGTTTCCCAGCCTCATTTCGGTCTTGTTATAGTTTTCCCGCCCCCCAGCATAGGCAATTGCAGTGCTGGAAAAAGAGACACTGACCTGTTTTAGAATATTTTAATCAAAATTAGAGTTCTACAAATACTCAGAGACCAGGTTTGATTGCTGGTTCTTCCAGAGAAGAACTTTGCCTTCCACTGAAAAGTGGAGTGGTCAAGTTCTAACTGGCAGGTAGGGTAACTTGGTGGTATTAGTCTTTCTATGGTGAGTCAACCATCTGAGTGGGGAAGGGGGAAATCTTTAGTTTGAGATTCTTCTGTCCTGAAGCAGCTAAAAACTAAGGGAGCTGACAAGTCTAGTAGATTCCTCAGAAAGAATGTGTCCCTCACAGACAGAATGGAAGACTTGTTTAAGCCGGAGAGAAATGAGCCAACTCACATGAAGGTGCTATCCCGGGTGATGGAGCCATCTGGCCCAGCCCGTATGTCAATGCCAGAGATCAGCTGATTCTCATAGATCAGTTTGTCTCTAGCCACCTGGAGGGGAATGGAAAGGGCTGTTTAATCCCTTCTGAGAGGTAGGAGGCAGTCTACACTAGATGTTAGGGGAGGTATTCTCACCTGGACTGTGGTGCCACATTGAGAGAGAAGGAAGCGGAAAAGCACAAAAGCCTCAGTCTTCTTGATGGGCTCACACCCAGTCTGGGCGTAGGCTAGCCGGACGCTGTCCAGGACGATGGGGTAGTCAGACATGTCCCTGGAGACCACCAGCACGAAGTGACCATCCACAAGGCACTGTACAGTGACTGGAACAAAGCAGAAAGGTTAAGCACGGCAAGTGCAGCCTAATGATGCTGGAACATGTGGGGCAGAAACCTCAAGTCCATTACTACAATGGAGAGTAAGGTCTGGGTTGAGACATGCTGAGGGAATAGGCCAATATTCACTATGCTGCAGAGGCGATATTAATACACCTCCCCCACCATTGTCTCCCTCAAGGAAAAACACAAGACTGAAAAGGAGCATTGGGGTCATATTCCCAATGGGACCCCCCCGGGATAAGCAAGAGCCTTGCAGGGAGATGTTCATGTGTAGGCCTTTAAACTGACTGAAGTTTCTCAAATGTTGTGGTAGAGTTCAGGCTTGTATTCTTCAGCCATTTCCTCTCCACCTCTAGAGTTGGGGCAGTGGGAATCACTGGAGAGCTCCCTTGCTTCAAGTGGAAAGAGCATGAGCCCAGGTGTGAACATCTACAGGTGCACTCACTTTAGATCAGATTGGGCCTTGAATGAATAAGTGACCCAAGGACATTTGATCCCTGCATCTATACCCCCACCCAATGGAGATGGAGCAAGATAGCAGCCATCACTGTCCCTTGGCCTCACCTCTCCTCCCTCCAACAATTCGCATAATTTTGTCTACATGCCCTCCAGAGCTCAGTGCAAGTTTTCAGGTGGTCTCTTACCTGTATTGCCATAGTAGCAGGGAGTAGTCATGTCAGTCCCATCATAGCAGCAGCCAGCATGGACGCAAGCAGCTGGATCATGGCCGTTCGCACAGGGGATCTTCCCAGACACCTCTTGGCATTGCTCCTGAGTCAGGTGGGCCCCTGGAAAAGCAAGGTACAGTCCCCTGAGCACAGGAGATGGCTTGAGCCCAGTACATGGCTACTCTGCCACCCCAAGATACCACTGCAGAGGAACATCAGTGTCCCTGGACAAGAGACCTTGCAGTTTAGATGGAAGGGGTGGGCCAAAGGTGTTAGAACCCCACAGGCACTATCCACCATTCCACAGTTGAGACTGCGAATTGGTGTTGGGAATGTAGACTTCGGTCTGCTTAGTATTGTAGTACCATTAAGTGGTTTTAGCCTTGAAGGACACATCAATTGGCTTCCTCTTGCTCCTAAAACTTCTCCAGCTAAAGGGAACAAGCTCCTTGTTTGAAAGCATCTTAGAGCAGATCAAAGGTGGCCCTTCTGGGGAAAGTTAGGGAGATGAACTGAAGTGGCTCATGCTAGAGTCACTGAAACCCAACCTTGTCTAATATCACCCACTCTGTAGTGAAACCCCAAAAACATCTCAGATATGCCTCAGGATTAGGGCAGAGATCAAGGAGCCTAGGAGCCCATGGCTGGTGGTCATGATGAAGCTCACTTTCGTAGCCTCCCTCTGTTATCTTCCTCCACAGCCAAAGTCTTAAACAACCCAAAAGGAAGTGGTGGGTAGACCAACTCATCTTTTCAGGCTCCATTGATCAGACGTCCATTTGTGTTTGGCTCTGCATCTGTTTTCACCGAGTAGGATTTCAACTCAGGCTTTGAGTTCAGTGAGGCTTTTATTTAGACTAGACTAATATGAACTCTTTAAATTCCTCTGCCCCACCCCTCAGAAATAGAGGTGAAATTTTATTGGCTAAGATAGGGGACATTCAAACTCAATCAAAATAAGTTTGCAGGCCCAGTGACCGCAGGCATTCGATACTTGTACTGACACTTATGTGACTGAGTGCTTGGGGTGGGTAAGGATGTAGCTGCACCGTGTCATCTAGCCCAACAAGCCATATTAGTTCTCAGTAGATACTTCAGAATCTAGGTGAATTAAGTGCAGAAAAACATTAAAATTCAGAAGTGTCCCAGGAAAAGCATGAAAGGCCAAAACCAGCTTCCTTGAATCCCATTGGTGGATGTATAGAAAAAACCAGGCCGGGCTGCGGCACGGGCCCCGGGCGCACCAGGCCGGGCTGCGGCACGGGCCCCGGGCGCACCAGGCCGGGCTGCGGCACGGGCCCCGGGCGCACCAGGCCGGGCTGCGGCACGGGCCCCGGGCGCACCAGGCCGGGCTGCGGCACGGGCCCCGGGCGCACCAGGCCGGGCTGCGGCACGGGCCCCGGGCGCACCAGGCCGGGCTGCGGCACGGGCCCCGGGCGCACCAGGCCGGGCTGCGGCACGGGCCCCGGGCGCACCAGGCCGGGCTGCGGCACGGGCCCCGGGCGCACCAGGCCGGGCTGCGGCACGGGCCCCGGGCGCACCAGGCCGGGCTGCGGCACGGGCCCCGGGCGCACCAGGCCGGGCTGCGGCACGGGCCCCGGGCGCACCAGGCCGGGCTGCGGCACGGGCCCCGGGCGCACCAGGCCGGGCTGCGGCACGGGCCCCGGGCGCACCAGGCCGGGCTGCGGCACGGCACGCATGGTCTCCTCTGGGCTTAAGTCATGTTCAGTGGGCTTGGGGCAGATCATGTTCACATCGTAGGCAGCAGCGACAGTCCCGGTGCTCTGCAGCTCCTCCACTCGGACCTTTAGGTGGTTACGGCCATCCTGTCCAAAAAATAAAGAGTGACAATTTGTATCAACCCCAAGGCATTCATACCCCCAAGGAGCAGGGGAACTTGTGGGGGCCACCAGCAGTATCTTTCTGCTGGGGGTTATGGAAAACATGCAGATTAGCTGGACATCCCAGAGTCGGCACTTATGGTTGTGACAGCTCAGCAACACTTTCTGGACCAGAGCCAGGGACCATGGTTTGCTGAGATACAGGCCCAGGTCTTCCTAACAGGAGCACCAAGGATGCCAGACACAGACTCACCTTCTTCAGCATGTGACAGCCATTGTAGCGCGCTGAGAAGATCACAACCCCTTCCTGGGTAGAGGTGACCCAGTGGAGGCAGATGGAGCAGTTGGTAACCTCAAAGGCAGTCCCAAACTCATCTGTGGGGATAGCAGGATTGGGGCAAGTAGCGTTTGCCATGAAATGGCTCCATCCGCCCCCCCCCCCCTCCAGTAGTGGAGACGACCAGCATCTTAGGTACTCTTATGTGGAGCAGGGGCAGCAGCCCACCATATTGTGTCATCTCAGTGCAGCTCAGGGAGGCCCAGTTATAAACGGGGATCTCCCTGTTCTAGAGAGGATCAGCTGACACCCCAGTGAAGTTGAGGCACAGCCATAGTAGGACACTGCAGTGATCGCAGGGGAGTGTTCTCCCACCCGACTAGACTAGTTACGACTCCTCAGCCTTGTGCGCTCACAAGGCGTGTCCTGTGCCTTCCCTCCAGCACTTACAACCCAGAGGTCTGTTGGGGACAGGAGCACGTGCAGTGATATCAGCAAGGAGGAAGAGGGCTGGGTCCATTCATTTAGAACATCCAGCTACACCTCAGGACCATTGGATCACAGGCATGTCCATTCAGAGTGAATGCAGCTGTATCCCCTCCTTGGGGCCCCTTGAGAACATCACTCTAGGCCCCTGGTTCCACAGCCACCACCTCTTGCCCAGAAGCCTGCACCTCTGCCTCCTGACCAGCATGTTCCCTGCCAAGACAGAGGTATCCCCAGCAAGCCAGACTGGCCAGTGGCTGCATTTCACTTTCTCTCCGTGGAGAATGTATATCAGCACCTTCTAAGCCAGCCTGTTTATTCTTAAGACAGGAGAAGTTCAGCAAGGCCCTACAGCGGAGGTGTCCAGCCAGTTCTGCTGTAGCAAGCTAAGCACACTCAACCAGCCAAATATTGCCAAGAAGCGGACCAGAGGGCAACCCAACTGCCAGCTCCGGCACTAATAAGAATCACTCCTTCCAGGCTTCCCACAAGCCTTCCCCCCAATGCCAGGGAGAAGGGCCTGCCTCTTTGCTGAGCAGAAAAGCAGCCCTGGGTCCATTTAAGACTCCAGATTTTTGTCCGAGAGTCCTTTGACTGTTGGTCCCCTGGTTGAACTAGTTTCCAGTGGCAGCTCCAGGAGGTGGTACCTCTCTGGGAGTTACACAGTCACCCCTCACTGTTTTTAAGCTGCACAGAGGGGGACATAAGTCAGCCCTAAGCCAGGCAGAACAATGCACTGGAAGTTACTTATTGCATTAAACACAGGCCTCCCCAGACCTGGCTGGGCAACTTGCTGCAAACTAGTCCAGGCACTTGGGAGCTTAAGTGGAAATAGACAAGCCAGCTGAGATCATGGCAAGAGGCAAGTTACTAAAACTAAGAATCACCTCCCTTCTCTAGCCTGCCCAACAGAAGCAAGTGAGCACCATTAGCAGATGAGAAGGCATCCAAGCAGCCACTTACCCACAACTTTGAAACGGACAGTGTGGCCCTGGCTGGGAAAGACCAGCAGCTGCATCCCATAGTCTCCACACTCATACTCATACCCATGCTGCAAGACAGAGAAACTGACCCTGCGGAACTCCCCCTGCCCCAGGGCTAATCCCAGGGACCAGAGCAGCACTATGCTCCCAAAATACCTACAGCCCCACCCCATAGCTCCAGGGACTGCTAGAAAAAACCCTACCAAGCAACCACTTCTCATTACTGGATTGTGGGGCTGAGGCTTTATAGGATCAGTATGGGAAGGGGCGGGGTGTGAACCAGGTGAGCAGAGAGGCTGCACCTGGGGAGTTGCCAGCAGCTGCAGAGGGTCTTGGTGAAAATTACAAAGCTCTGGGTGAAAGGGAAACATCAGCACAGCTCCGACCCTCCCCCATCTCCAAATGTCACCCTGGTTCCTCCTTCCCTCCCTCCTGGTTCTTGTGTGGGTATCTTGGATGGATTTGAAAATTCCATCTCCCCTTGTTCTTCCCACTCCCGTTCCCTGTGATCCTCCTTCATGTAGGCCCGGGTGAAGAATCTATTTTGGACTGGGAACTGCTGACCCACAGAAAAATCAGTTGGGAGCCGCACACAAATGAGAAGCAAAAACAAAAACCAAACGAACGAAAACCCCCCAAACCTCCAAGAAAACAAAACTAAACAAAAAACAAACCACCCCACCTCGGACTGACTGACGGCCCCCAAATGGGAAGGAGAAAGACATTTCCCCT